AGCGCAGAGACATCATGGGAAGTCAATGGAAGAACACTTACAAATCTCCAAGCCTTAATACCCTATTCGAAAAACAGTCTTAAGTTACATGAATTCCTAACTGTGGATTTTTAAGTTATGTATTCACTTATGAACACTCTGAAGAGTAATTGAAGCCACTGTGTCAGCGATAAGTACGTCGAATGAATCAGTAAGGTGTCCTTCTGTTTGTATACCGTTATATAATAAGAGTCGATCCGGATAGCCGAGATCGCTAAGCAATAGTATCGTGGCGATCTCGAATCGTAATCGTTCGAATCTCGCCAGGGGCATCGATATATTTGTGATCGGTCCTTGAGGATTCCCTGGCCCAAGCACGAGACCCTTGCCTTTACGTGGGTATGTTGCTGTTTGGCTAAATAATATATAATAATAATAATAATAAATAATAATAATCAATAATAAATAATGGATCTTCAGCATTAAATGCTGTGCCCCCAAAAGAAAATAAAGTGCACCTACCCCGATAATCATGACTGAGCCCTGGAGGGATGCACGTATCGCGTGGCCCCACGAGAGCCATTTCGCGAAACAAATTACATAATAATAATAATAATAATAATAATAATAATAATAATAATAATAATAATAACAATAACAACTATTTTCAACTGTTTTGAATTCGTGGCAACGTAGTATTGAAATACAATACGCACACTGGCTTTGTTTTGGAAAGGAACACGAAATCGATTATAAAAATAGTCTCATTTCTTTTCTTCTTTAACAAACTGCAATTCCACGATTAATCCTTTCTTTCAGAGCGAGAGTAAAGTATTTCACCATTTTTCAGAACTCAAAGTTACACAACTAAGAAGTTATATTGTATAGGTATCTGATGTTCTTAATTTTAACCACTCAACAATATTATTTTGTCACTTCTGTTACAAAACGAACCTGCCATTGGCAGTCATCTTTCCTCGCTGGGTTTTGCCTTAGAAATCACAGCAGTTGAGTTCTGCCAAAATCATTCCCTTCGCAATACATGAAATTTACATAAACGAGCATTTCAGGAAGGACATTTTTCCTAAACGGTGAAGGATTATTATGTTTATATTAATTTGGTATTTTATAATGAACCAATTCATATTTTTTGATTTTGTTAATTAGTAAAACCATCTATGTGAAATGCAATTGTTCTGAATATATATTCTGTCATGAATTAGCACCCACCAAAATGTAAAATTATACTACTTTATATTTCTGAATTTTAATAACTATCTTGATAACGCAATGGTCTTTTAGAATTGATAACTTTTTTCACTTTTTCGGTTACTAAGAAAGTACCCGAAATTTCTCCAAGTTTTCTTTCCATCATTTTCTCCACACAAACGATATTGTGGGGGGGGGGAATCCCCGAATCTGGCAACACAGACCCGCCCCGACGCCATCCTCTTTAAGAAGCTCACTCCGAATTAATAACCAGGCCTCTGGAGACCAGGACTCGACGGGGACGACGACGGCGGCGGCGGCGGCGGCGGCGGCGGCGGCGAAGGGATAGGGGGTTGAGTCGGGTGGGAAGGGCAGAGGAGGGGGAGGAGGAGGACAGAGTTCTCAGAAATAAGAAACAATCTCGAGAGCCAAGTTCGCCGTCCGATTTCCACGAGCGATGCGGCGACAGAGGCCGCTTGGTGCCGCCTCGCGCCGCCCGTTGCGCCACTGTCGCGCCCGGCCAACCTCCCGCCCGTCACACAGTGGGGACGATTCCATGAAAGGAGGACGTAAATATTAGAGGTAGACTTTTTCGTTTCTTCTCGTTTGTGCGAGACGTGCAATGGCGTAACGCATTAAATGAACATATTAGTGCATTATTATAAAATTATATTCGTTCTGAAACGTTCGAAACATTTTATAACGATTCGATGTTATACTTTTGGTGCACATGCATTTCGAGTTCAACAAGGGTTTAAAAATACATTTCTCCACCAATTTAAGGTTCATACACATCAATAATAAAAAAAACATATTTAAACACATTGCCAATAGACAGTAGGTTTTCTTTTTGAATTTATTTAGCTAATAAGTGTTTTCTAAAAATATTTTAAAAGATTCTAAAAAATCTAGTTTCACTTAAGGAAAAATTCTGTATAGTTAGTGTATACATAGTTTATAATGAAATATTTTAAAATTAATTAATACTATTAATCTATTTGAATTATGAAATATCTGGATGAAAGGAACAATTTCATACATCATATCATTGAGAGGGCCAGTAGAAATGTAAAATTGTAATCGTTCTAAATCTGCGGGCGAGTTGTAGTAGGCATTAAAATATAATTACTTTGCGGGATGAGCTACTTTCTAACGTGGCGAATCTTGATGATCTTCATCTTTAACACAGGATATGATAATGATGCTGATGGGTAGATCATCATAACAAACGCATTCTTCATATTATTCATATCATTCAAATTAAAATGTTACAAATTATACAAAGGTCCAATTGTATCATTATTATTATCATCATCATCATCATCATTATTATTAATTATTGTTATTATTATTACAATACCAACAACACTTAATAAACACGATAATACTGCAAAGTTATGTAGACACACAGCCACGACGGACTTTTATAACAACGTAATTTTAAGAGGAAATCGAACACTGTCCGCAAACTTTTTGCCTCACCCTCGCTCTTTCGCCCTCCCCCCCCCCCGCGTTCCCTGTCGCTCAGCCGCCGGATATTACTCCCCGAGAGCTTCTCTTGCGGCGAGGGCGGAAACGGCGAGCGCTCTACACTTTCGTGAGAGCGCTTCGGACGCTCTCCTAGAGAGCGAGAGCGCTCTCCTCGGGCAATGCGACCCATCGGGGGCTCGGAGGGCCTCGAAGAGATGCTCGTCGGGGGCTCGAAGGGACGAGGAAGGCTCCCGGACGGCGCACGCCGCGACAAAGAGCCCGTACCTCCAATCAGATTGCGGGATCGTCGAGGGAAAACTGCTGACTGAGCGGCAGGAATATATCGTTTGAGGGTGAATTTCCACGATTCACAAATGAAAAGAGTATGAGTGAATTTTTGTTGATACCGGGCGCGCCAACTACCAAGATCATTGGTCCCGTACGTGTAGCGCATGTTCTAGCCGGGAGGCGGCAATGTTCCTTCCCAGATGGAACGATAGATCCCGGCTCGGCTCGTGGAATTTCCTACCACCAGTATAATCCCCCTTCGGGTCACCGTCCTCACCGGGACAAGCCGATTCGTGTGGTAACTAAGCTTTACATTTTATATCTTGAGGCACAATCCCTTAATTTGTTAGTCTTTAATTTAGGTTGCTACCGTTTCATAAAAATCCCTCTCTGCTGTTATATCTGCTTTACCAGAACAAGTGATTCAGCGCAGAGATGTCAGAGGGTACTATTTGTTATACGAAGCTACTTTAAATCACATTCTATTTAAGAAGTTGCCGCAATTGCTTCAAATATTTTAAATATATATTGAGAAAGAATTTACAAAATTTTGAACGAAATCGTTTTGTTGAAATATCTTTACAATTATTTTACCTAAGCTCACTTCATACTAGAAAGAATAAATAAGTTCATAAAAAGTGCTAAAAGACGATGCTAGCTAGAAAAAGATACTCGTTTCTATAAATACATCAAAATAAAATTAATGAACGAAAATATTCATTTACAGTATAAAAATTTCAGTTTTTACTCAGTATCCCCAAAATAATTTTCACGTAAATGTAAACGTTTAAATGATGGTATGATGAATAATTAATCTGCTGGAATTCAATAAGGTGATAAGACTAAATTCGAAGTAATTCAGATTACATTCAGCAATTTTATTTGAATTTAATAACACAGCTGACAAGTTAAATGATATCATTAATGTGATTCGTTGCTCAAGAATAAATTGAAATGTGTCTTATGTAAAACACATTTGAATCTGACGCCAAAGGTCGAGGCTATATTGATGGCGGATATGTTTTGATTAAATTTAATTCGAACGTGATTGTTCGTGTTTATTTTTCGACAAGCATGACCCTGCTGTATGAAATACTGTTATAGGTATTCTGCACAGAATTCTGCAATGCAAAATACTACCATTAATTCAGTTATAAATACAATTTCATTAAAAAAGTTTATACCGATAATGAAGACAAAAAGTATTAGTACGAAGAGGGCATGTTTATGAATACAAAATTTCCATATACTAACTCCAATACCAGATCGTTCTCCCCTTTTCAATAATTTTACGGAACACATTAACCAGATGAAAACAATACTGCAGCAAATTGCTGTATGTACAGAGTACACGAGCATGGGAGAAAGAACGAGTATATTACAAAAACAATTACACGAAACAAAATACACAAGGTCGCAGTGCTTGTGCCGTTCGTAAAAATAGCCATGTTGAATACGCTTTGAAAATCTGAACACCAAGTTTCGCTGGATAATCAATGCAGACAATAGTACCTACGTGAAATACGAATGATAAACAAAATTATATTTTGAAGCCTTCGTTGCTTTCTTCTGTTTAAATGGAAAACATGTATACGGTACATGCACGTGTTTTGTTGGCTTCATTATTAACAAGCTGCGATACGTTCTATGAGACTGTACGATGTAGAACGTTTAAAGGTAATTTTGGAACTAATAATCTGCTATTTTTAATTTTATACTTTACGTTTTTTAATACGAAGAATTTCACATAAAATAGCTAAGGTAAACATATCTTCTTGTTTACATTTAATTGGAAATATTTAAACCGAAAAATTTTCGATCCTATTTCATCGTTCAATTTGTCATTGAATCTATTATTCCTATTTTGTTCTTTGGTGAAAATGCATCAAATATTTTTCAAGACAAATACACTTTGAAATGCAGGAAAAACGGAATAACATAACCTTTGCAAAAAGTAATAATTGAAAATTTAAAAATTATCGCACTATTAACAACAATAACTGGATAATAGTTCTCTATTTACCTGAATAACAAGGAGAATCACACCCACTTACCTCGAAACTTATCTTCCCTGTGTGGTTGTGTTTGATGGTATTGAACACGTAGTGCGCGTATTGGCTTGCATCTGAAAAGACAATGTTTCTAAGATTAGCGAAAGAAAGTTCACTTTGGTGAGAACAGGCACTTCTTAAATAAGTATTAATTATACATCACATAGCATACTAGATAGATAATTCTTTGTACTACAATAATCTATGGAATATGTTCTCTTCTTTTTTCCGTATTCTGAAAACTCACCACATTTAAACAATGTCAACATGGTAATAACCATGACTGTCTCAAGAATTTATACAACGGTAAAATACGTATGGGTTAAGGTTCTTCCCCTAATAGGGAGTTTTAGCGCCAAGCGTAAGGTAGCGGCGTTATGCACTAACAGTCACGTGATGGACCTTGAAGTCATAACGTCTTACCTCAGGCCTAAGGTAACGACCTTGTACCTTCATAAATAGTGCACGCCTGTGGGAGTCTCTACGGTCACCTTACAAGTGGCAAAATGACCGCCTAAAACATGAAAAGTTGAATTGTTCCAACTCTGATAAACCGATTCTCGTATATGATGGAGTTACAATTATTCCTTACCAACTCCATAACGCTGGCAATAATTAAAGAGATATGTTGGAGAGGTCACGGGAAAGAAATTCGCGAAAAAGGGGTTCAAATAATATTTTCGGGATAGGTTATGTCTTATGCTCATAACGAACGCTGTTTTAAGTTATTTCCTATATTTTCAAGAAAAGCCGATTCAAAATTCCAGACTGCATACTCATCACGGAGGGCCACAAAATATAAACCTCCATGCACAATGAATATTTGTTATTCTGTTGACTCGTAACGTGTTTTAAATGTCTCACCATTAGTCTACACTCTTTGATATATTATGCAATTGCTCTGTTCAATGCTTGAAACGCTTCCTTTGTTACAATACATATCGCAATGTCGCAATTGCTAAAACTCTTTTCAAAGTTGTTCATTACGACCGTATAAAGGCGTTAGTCACGTGATCAATAGAATTGAAGGATATCTCCTTACGCCTGACGCTAAAAATCCCTATTATTAGCGATCATATAAGCAGGAGAGCACGCATCCAGAACCCTAATACCATTGGAGCGAGTTCGGATTAGAGAAGGGGCGAGTGCTGTCTGAAGTGATTCAGTAGAGGTTGTATTCTGACCCACTACTTAACGAGAGACGAAAATCCGCCAACATCGAGAACTGAAATTTAGACATAGGTCTTGGCTGTTCAAAGCACAGTACTATCAAGGTTTCTGCAACGACCCCGTTTATTCCGTCCAAGATTATCAAATTTAATCTCAGCTTCTTTTAAATTACAAGATGTTGATCCGGATGATCGAGATTGCTAAGGCAGTAGTGCCGTAGTGATCTCGGACTGAAGGACCGCGGGTTCGAGTCCCGCCTCGGGCATGATTGTATTGAGTTCGTCCTTTCACCCCCTCTTATCGTGTCATCCTCACAGTTACAATAACAATCACCTCACAGTTATGCAATAGTAGTCGCTAATGAGCTGGAAGTTGATGCGACCTTAAAAGAAATATCGAATTAGAATTTCTCTATATCTCTTGAGCTTATTGCGATTTGCTTCTTCTCGCTCTATTATTCACACGGAAAAGCGGCGGCACTTTTTACAGTCATGTGTGCAAATCAGGCTGTCGCTTGAATTATCGTTCATTTTTCTGCGGGTTAGCATCTCGTAAGCTTCTCCAACGTTTCGACACGTGTTATGGGGCTATGAACAACACGATTCGCACAGTACTTGGGAAATCTCATTTCGAACAGTACGAAACGTGTTTTTAGATATTGCGTTTGATGTTGCTGATAATACTGCTACCATATACATAGAAGATACAGATAAGACAATAATTAAATAAGTTTGCGTTTATTGATTCTAAGTGTATGAGTAGAAGAGGATATGAATAAATCATTTGCATTTATCATTTAATATAACTCTTTTCATTAACTTATTTTCAGAATGTTTTAAGAAACATTTTTAAAAATATTGTGTTAATGTATTTTGTATATTTGGGATTTCTCAGTAGTAACTCATTTTGTATTTAATTCACTGCGTCAGTTTTTTGCAACCACCCACAGACACATTTTGCAACCTTGCACAATTTGTAGTTGTTCAATATTACCATTTCTCATCCCTCGTATGCTAACATCCCACTTAGCAACACTACTAGAAACAACTTAGGTTACTCATCACCTTCTCGAATTCTTTCTATTACTCACTCTCGCATCGCTCATGCTTTGCTCGTTACAGCATGCTAATAACAGTCGTCCATCTTTCACACGAGCGTATTGGGACAGGAATAAATGGGCGTGCCCTCAAAGTGATGTTACGGTATTTTTTTGTTTTTTCAAAAATTACACAAATGTAATTGTTTTTAAATCTCTCTCACGCCTTTATTATGCACATTTCCAGAAATTTGTAAACAATATTGCATTTGTGACTGGACGTGTTTGAAATTACTTTTTATGAATTTTTTCGAAAACTCAAAATTTATCTGTAAAAAATGTTCAAATATAGCATTTAGAGTAGCGTTTAAACGGCATTTTCCTGAAACCAGCTTCAAATTTTTTTAAAGAAAATTGCCATTTAGGGAGATGTTTTACTGCTTTTTAATATTGTTAAAATAATATTTCGGTTCTACTATTATGAAACCGAAATTTTTTTTAAAATTAAAAAAATGTACTCTGAGCAGCGATAGTTGGCAGCTGGCATGGCAAGTCCGAGTAGCTAGGCGAGACCAAAGGAAATGGAAAACTAAGACGGGAATGGCAGTGCCATTCGGTAGCACCACTAGTTTCAGAACAGGATATAACTGATGGAGTCTACTAGTGGCTAGTGGTATTCGGTGTTGTGTATTTACAGCAACAACTACAAACAGAGAAATTCCGCCCGCGTTAGTTGTCGGGCGCCCCGGGCGCGTGTCTCGCCACCCCGCCCTTCAGTGGCGTGCGCGTGCTCCCGGAGGACGAGCCGCAAGTTAAGTGGCACTTACGTAAGGCAGATAGGAGTGGCCGCGGCGGCACCACACGCAACGATAAGCCGCCCGGGGGAATCGCATTGTGCTCCTTGGAGGGCGGCGAGAGCAGTTTCTGGCACGCCACGCGCTTCGCATCGCTTCGCATCGCTTCGCATCGCTTCGCATCCCTTCGCGTCGCTTCGCATCGCTTCGCGTCGCTTCGCATCGCTTCGCATCGCTTCGCATCGCTTCGCATCGCTTCGCATCGCTTCGCATCGCTTCGCATCGCTTCGCATCGCTTCACATCGCTTCGCATCGCTTCGCATCGCTTCGCCTCTGTGTCTACGCGTAAGGTGCTCCGAGTTTATGCCGCGGCGTGGGAGCAGATAGTGCAAGTTCTCTTCACAGGAGGGAAGTTGACGATGCAGATTTTTCAGTCCTGATAAGAAAGTGAACTGGCGGGCGTGACAAAAAGTAAATTTAAGAGGTTATAAGAAACATGAGGTATGGTGTGGTATTAAAATTATGAGAAGTTTGAATAAAAACTGAATAGGAATATTTTTGTTTTTTAGTAGTCATCTGGATACATCAGTACTGTCGTACGTATATACATCCACACGTGTCATCGTATCTAACACAAACGAAAAGGAAAAAAAAATATTTTGAATCAAAAGGGAAAAATTTAAAAAAACTTCATGTTAGAAGTCAAACATTTTGGCACTGCTAATATTTTCCCTGTAGTATACAATCAATATCCGAAACTGCGAAAGTACAACCTAAACTATGAAAAACATTGTATGAAGTATCACAAAAAAACGAGAGGAAACTCCCACAAAGAGCAGGGGAAATCATTATTTACAGTTTTGATATTTATAAATATGTTAAAGGCTGCTTCGACTCCGCCAGATGAATTTTTTTCGTCTTAATATGATTGTATTATCAAATTACGCAGTCTTTAGGGGCTTCTGTATGATCTGTACATCTCAACATGACTTCGATTAAAATTAAACGTATATTTAAAAAAAGACCTAAGATATTCGCGAAGACATTAAAGAAAATAAACTATGATAGAAGCAATACAATATTAGCAATAAACGGTTTCAAATAATAGTATCGCAATTAAATTATCGCGGTTTATAACCTGCCTCCGAATTTGCAAAATGTTCGTAGCAATTTGAACACAAAATGAACAGCCCTGGCTTCAACAGCCTCTAGCCAAAACCAATCGTTTCAGCGAGGGTTTGCTTATGTAGTTGGGTGGATCGTGAAGCTTACTGGAAACAAAATGCAGAGCACGTTCTGTACTACTTTCAACAACTATTTTTTTAGAGAGTTTATAAAACAGCGTAGTCGTTGAGAAGCAGAACTGCTATAAAATATGAAGAAAAAACTATTTATAGTATCATATTTATGACTTTCTACTCTTACTGTAAACACATGTCTTATAAATTGAAAACAAAGGAAAAGTAGTTTATGAAGAATATAGATTTTCATTGTTTCATTGTAATATATGCAGACAAAAATTCAAATAAGTCTACGAAATAAGAGATTCCATTCTATAAGTACCATTTTCTTCGATTCTTACGATTAAGGCAAAGTTATTTTTTTCATCAAGGGATAGCCCATCATTTTAAGAAAGTAATAAATTCGAAGATTTATAGTCCAATATTTTAATTTACACACAATTAAAATAATTATCTTGAGAATTAAAATAAAAGTTCTTTAAGCAAACTTATATAAAGAAGTTTATTTATTTAGAAAAATCTAAAACACAGAATTACCATCTATATTTTGAAACATTCTTGTGCGATCGTGAACAAAAAGGTATTTTGTTCTGTAAGATACATTGTAACACACCGAAAATAATCGGAATATTTGTGCACTCTTATTATATAGGGAAGAGGCAATAGATAGATGAACCATTTTTAATATGTATCTATGGGGGTCGCCAATGAGGTACAATAAATATGACGTCAGAGTAGAAGGGGGGCCGAGCAGCTAGGCAAGTGGATATGCGTGGCAGAGAACGCCAGTCGGGTCTAAGATAATGGAATATTTATTAATGGTGGAAATTTTG